ATTTAAAGAATCGTACTATTGCAAATACAGTTGAAAATAAAACTCCTTATGAGATATTTTTTGGGGTCAAACCAAATGTAGAGCATTTAAAAATTTATGGAAGTAGAGTCTATGTTAGAGTTCCTGAAGTGTTAAGAAAAAGTAAATGGGATGATAAAGCTCAACTAGGAATTTTAGTGGGTTATAATGAAAATAGTTACAGAGTTTTGTTAAATAACAGAATAATTAATGCAAGGCATGTACAGGTAATTGAAGAAAATACTCAGTTAATTTGTTTGGAAAAAGTAGACAATCAAAATAATAAAGATTTGGAAAGTGATAGTACTTTAGATGTTTCAAATGAAGAGGTTAAAAATGAATATGAAAGCGATGAAAACTTTGTAGATGTAGATGAGACTTATTCTAGTAGTAACGTAAATAATAATAGAGAAAATGACGTTTTAGTAGAATCACAGAAAAGAAAGAGAATCCCAGTTTCTAGATATGGTAATCCAGTTACACACTTTATTTATGTTAACCATATTGATGCAAATGTACCAAATTCATTCGAGGAGGCGATGAACTCCAATGATAGTAAGCAATGGCAAATAGCCATGGATTCTGAAATAAATAGTTTAAATAAAAATAATACTTGGCAAATTGTAGAAAAACCAAAAGATAAAAAGGTAATTGATGTTAAATGGGTTTTTAAAAAGAAAAGTAATAATGAATATAAAGCTAGATTGGTTGTGAGAGGGTTTCAGCAAAAAGATTTTAATGAAAATGCTTACTCACCTGTTGGAAAAATGCAAACTTTGAAAATTTTATTGTCATACAGTTGTAAAAATAAATTATTTGTAGAGCAAATGGATGTTGAAACAGCCTTTTTAAATGGTTATGTAAAGTCAGAAGTTTATGTAAATCAACCAGAAGGTTATAAAACAGGAGATAATAAAGTTTACAAATTGCAAAAAGCTCTCTATGGTCTCAAAGAAAGTCCTAGAGTGTGGTATGATTGTTTTGATATATTTATAAAAACTTTGAATTTTGTTAGAAGTAATTATGATTACTGTTTGTATGTTAAAAAAGCAAGCAAAGATCCAATATACATATTAATATTTGTTGATGATTTTTTAATATGTTGTAAAGATAAAAATAAAATAAAAGAGGTGAAAACAAGTTTAATGAAAAGATTTGCAATGAAAGACTTGGGGAAAATTAAAAGCTATATTGGCATAGATATTGAGTATAATGATGATAAAAATGTGATGACATTAAGTCAAACAAAGTATATTGAATCTTTGGCTGCAAAGTATAATTTGGTAAATACTAAGTTATATGATACTCCTATGGAAACAAATTTAAAATTAGAGCAAGCTAGTGAGGTCGATGAAAGTATTAAGTACAGAAATATAATAGGTGAATTATTGTATATTAGTACAGGCACAAGACCAGATGTAGCGTACAGCGTTAATTATTTGAGTAGATATCAAAGTTGTTATAACCGAACACATTACAAATATGCAATGAGAGTGTTAAAATATTTGTATAAAACTAAGAATCTAAAGTTAACATATTATGATAATGCAGATGCTGATATTTTAGACTGTATGGTTGATTCAGACTATGCAGGGGATAATGTGGATAGGAAGTCTACAACAGGTTTTATTATAAGATTTTTTGGAAATTTAATATTTTGGAAAACACGTAAACAAAATACAGTAACTAAATGTTCAACTTTTGCAGAGTATATTGCATTGTCAGAGGCAGTAACTGAAGTACTTTTTATAAGAAATTTGTTAAGTGAGTCATTTGATATAAACTTTTGTTATCCAATAAAATTGTATGAAGATAACTCAGGTGCAATTGCAATAGCTAAGTATGGTAACTTTACTAAAAATTCAAAGCACATTGAAGTGCAATATCATTATATAAACGAGAATTATGAAAACAAACTTATTGATATAATTAAAATTGATACAAAATGTAACTTAGCAGATATATTGACTAAGAGTCTAGATAAAACAAAATTTTTGAAAAACAGGTTTGAATTAAGATTAATTTAGTTAAGAGTTCAGATTATTACTTTAAAGTACTGTTTAAGTAAAATATTAAAACTGTAATAACTTTAAAATACTGTTCATGTAAGATAGAATGTTAAGATTATAAATTTAAGGAGGTGTGTTGTAATAAGGTAAATATTATAATCTTAAGTTAAATAATATAAGTAGCGCCATCTAGTGTCAAGTTGGCGAGTTTCTCATAGACGTCGATATGTCATCTGTGTTCTTCCCTTTTGTCGTCTGCATGGCGCCCATCATGTGCTTTCTGTGTGATTTATAATAAAACTACGAAATACAACAAGCTATTATCTATTATTCAACCACATCCACCACTTCAACAGTGCCGAAACACGGCTCTCCCACACTTAAATTATTGTAATAATTCCTCTGGAGTTGATTATTATCAAGTGATCCCTATAGTTACTGCCTTATCTCATATAAGATTGATACCCTTCCGACTCAAACACTAGTGTTCGTATCAATACATGGTATTTACTTTCAAAACCATTTTCCGTATTTCAAAAATTCTTATAAAAATCTTTAAAAAAGGCACTTTAAAGTTTAAAAATGATATGAGATAGACTGTTGGCAAAAGTAAGAACGCGCAATATATTGCTTGTGTTACAAAATCAATGACGACGAAATAAATACATTAGCTGAAAGTAGACTAGACATAAACAGACATACGGTAGATACGACTAAAACCAAATAGAAGAAAATAAGGAAGACTATAAGACTAAAAACGAATGAAGAGAACATAACAAAATTATTGTGTCTGCCATGAATCTAAGGGGAGCAAGGAAAGGATAATGGTCAGGATTGTTTGGGTGTACAAGATATATACCACAAAAACATACTGTTATTGCATACTTAGTAGAATCATTTTGGATAGTAAACAATTGATTTGCTTTGAACAAGAAACAAAGTCAAAGTCAAAGTCAAAGCATTTATTTCAATTAAACCATAGTTTGGTACTTTTGAAACGTCAACAAATACAAAATAAATAATAGTCTGTCAGTCAGTCCGTCAGTTAAATTAGGTGAAGCTAGGTGCTCATTCCAAAACGTAGATTCGAATGGAGAAGAACGAGCAAGAAACTCCATCCAAACATTCATAAATGATGACCTAGAGATTTGGGGAAGTTAAGTTATTGACATTTTAAGTCTTATGTGACTGCTGGTACATGTGCTCATTTAAGGTACACATGCTCGAAAATAGCATGCAAAAAAGGCATTCGAGCATGCTCAAAAATTTTCAAAAAACGAAGGCCAGTCGATTCTCAAGCATGTCCGAAATGAGCATGCTACTTTTGAGCAATATTCCGACACACATGCTACTAAGTGAAAATTGTTCAATGGAGTAGATGACTAATTTTTATTTTAATGTCCGTCTGGTAGACCATTTAAAAAACATTAGACACGTATTTTTATTTTTTTTACGGAAACGAATAGTTTCAAAGATACATTGATTTGAAATGTCGCATGATGTCACTTCTACATATGTACATTTTATACGTAGAAATGACGTTTTAGCCGCTACTCCTAAACTTTGATTCGCTATATCTAAGTATCATTTTATTATACAACAAAATGAAAAAATACGTGTCTAATATTTTTTTCATTACTTAACTGACGGACTAATTACATTTTTCATTTTCATCCCCTGTCATCATCCCTATTGCAGCATGCTTTCGTACTTGTAATAAGTATGTGTAACAGGATCTATAGATGTGATCTAGATTCAATCTCAAGCTATCTTGGTTTAAAATTCTAAACGGAGAAACAAACGCAGTAACTGATAAATAGGACTAGACACACGCAGACAAACCCTAACTGAATATAGCAACAACATTCGGTATAAATAGACAAAAACTAGTCTACAGTATAGCGCAAAATGTTCTCAATATAGAAAATGGCACCCAACGGTGCCTTGGAATGTAATATTAGGGAGTTTTCTTGAAAATAATCACATAAAGCTAATTGTTTCATGAATGTAACATTCTTTTGAGTCTGATCAAAAACGGTGGGTGTTAGAAGACGGCAAAGAGTAAGGCGCAGAGGGGTAAGATACTTGTAGTTTTGGGAAGTTAGAAGAATTATGTAAGGATAATGAAATAAGCGAAAATATTGAAATTGATTGCAATGATGACTTTACACTGATTTGTGAGTCGGCATGAAATCATTTGAGGATTTTACCATTGATTCTATTCATTACGGTACCCTTCTGGAAGTGATATGAATTTTTATTTCTCCTTTTTTGTCATTTTCAGAGTATTTATCATAAACCAACAGGATATTTATTTTTATTTTATTTTATTTTGCTTCAGTATTTAATATTCACGTGGAGGAAAAGATGTTTAATCTTATGTAGATAATTCCACACTGCCACTGGAATTTAGAAACAGGAAAAATAAATTCATATTTCATTTAATAGTAGCGACGCAGGATTGTAATAATATAATTAATGTGATTACATTCAACATCCACTTAAGAGCATTAAAAGTGCGAGCACGTTCTAGTCACGTTTGCAATATGATTGTTATTACATCTTCAGAGTACTACGCACTTTGCTATGCGTGTCTTACAATCATAATCTTCGATGACAAGATAAACAGATTATCTGTAAGACCTCAGATCATCAATCAAGTAATCATTGATATCCCCCACCTCAAGGACACGACACTGCTATCACAGAGAGCAATCACCTACTTGTTTTCCCATAGTCATCGCAGGAATTAACAAAACAAATAAAATCTGTCCTTTGAATACGTAGAAAAGTGTGTGATGTACAATGTTGATTGTTGATTCGCTGACCACCAAGGTCTTTCAGCAGTTATCACATCTGCATTATCTAGTCTGTGCGCTGTGGTAGCGCGGCGCGTGTGCCTGGGCGGGCGGGGCGCGCGGGGACCGGGCTCTATTGGCCCAGCTCACCTCGGAGCCTTCAGTCTGGCGCGGGACGCGACACCGAGCGCACGTCGCCCGTCCACACATCTCTCACGTCCAAACCGCGTGTTGAAAATAAAGATTGCTAAATTAAATTGCTAGTGTAAACCTATTTGGTGGGTAGTGTTTTGTTCCCTGCCCAGTGACGTCATAAACGAGGGCTTAAGTTCGAAGGCGATTGTATCCAAATGTACGAGGGCTAAACAGTATTTTCAGTAGAAGTAAGTAGACGGATCGTAGATGTTATTATATGATTGGTAGTGCTTATTGACTGTTGCTTTTAGGTAGTTGGCTTCTTCGATGAGTAGAGGCATATATTTTATGTCATCAGGAGGAGTGAGGCTGGAGGAATTGAGGTTTATGTAAAGAATATTGAACTGTCTATCAAAATATTGATCTGTTGTTTATTTACTTGCACTTTCAAAATTGGATAATACGTAACATATTTGAAAATCACTGATCTAAAACCGACCATTTTTTAAATTACAATGATTGTAATTTGGAGTCTTGGTCGCTTCGTTAATTACATACACAAAGAGCTGCCTAGGCAAAGACCAAACCGCTGTAAATCTCTTTAGCAAATATGAAAGAAGTTCGTTTATTTTATGCCCTTAGTTCTGTGCTGTAGTTAGGATAATGAGAACATTTGTGACCACTGGCGATAACAATGGTGGCGACAAGTTATTTGCATAGAGAAAGATAATTAGATGCTTTACCTCTTAGAACAGTTATTGGGTGATCATCAAACCCTTAAAAATTTTCTTTGTTGCCTTCCCTTTGATGCTGTCGTCATATCATCATCCATTATCATTTCCATTATTTGATTTGAACAGCTGAAACCACAGAAATGTCAATGATTATAAATGAAATTCCGAATCCAATAAGCATTGAGTGATTGGTTGAAATTGCCTACCTTAACATTCTTTTGTTACCAAAACATTGATTTATTGAGTGGATTTAACATAATTTCCATTCATATTTCTCTGACAATATCCTGGAATGAGATGAAAATTTGAGCTGTTTGGCAAATAAATAACGGGAAATAGAAATGGTTTATTAAAGTTAAGAAAGGGAGATATATTTTAGAGATGAAATGTACAAGCTTAATATCATTTATTTTTGTCAAGATTTAAATCTTATAAAGCAGGGTTAAAGGCTGAAACCACTCGGATGAATTATGACAAATTGTTGGTCCAACGTTTACCAAGGATCACAATAACCAACTTCTCTAGTTGACCCTTGTCACACGGCGGGTGACAGTCGAGGACTGTTTTTATTTTCCCTTTATTTTCCAAATGAAGGTACCACAAATATTCGGATGACAGTCCAATATCATTTTGCTCCAAAAACATTGTTCTAAGTTTATTTTAATCATTAACATCGCAATAGGAGTGCGTTTAGCACAATTACCGCCCTTAGCCTTGAATGATTTCCTTTAAAATTGAATATGATGTTAGCACGAAGCGTGTCTAAATTTCCATGACAGTAATGTGTGAACTGTATCTAAGTGGTTGGCTCAAAGGCAAGTAAACGTGTTGGTTAGATCGCTGAGCGTAAATACATAGTGACCACAATGACCAATTTCCTTTAGTTGACTCATACTACTTGCGGCTTCGGTAGTAACTGACACCTTATGTTTTTCTTTACAATTGTCATCTGTAGCGTTTGTGTTATTTGACCTGGTTTCTTTTTGTTCTTTAGAATTCAGTTTTTATTATTTGAATTCATTTCTTGGGATTTTGTTCGATAATTTTTTGCAATACCTACCTCTAGAACATCTGTGGCTTTTTCCATTCCATACCTTATAAATCACCTCTTACTTTTACTAGTCATTTAGCTTTCTCATTAATTTTAATTATTTGCCAGACACAATAATTATAATATCAAACCACTAAGTAAAGAAAAAAACCCAGTTCCCATGTCCTATGGAATTCCCTATCGTTTTATGTAACTGCTATTACATTCGAATGTCACGTACGCCAGCACTAAAAATCCCTCTATTCTAATATTTATCCTGATGTGAAAACCTACTTGTTTTACTGTAGGTACTTTTACTTCTGTACCTATTTATTGAATAATTTGTAAATTTGTATTACGTATACCTACGGATAATTTTTATAATTATGATTATTTTGTATAGCGATATTAGTTTTTTAAAAATCTTTTTATTTTATATCACTATTAATCTACATTGTCATTTCGAAAATTAAGTGGCAATTCAAATCCAAAACTTCAAATAATATATCTGACCTGGTAATCACCACAAGGTGACAATTTGACCACAATACAGGAAATTTTGAACTAATATATGTCTGAAACATTATGTATCCTCTGATATGAGCAAAACTGCAGTTATATAACCATCTTAGTTTATCAGATTGTTTTTATTCACGACTGGAAAAAGACTCCTTAGCAATGCACCTGTGATGACCTGTGTCTCATCTGGTGTTGCGGTGTCCATGGGCGGCGCTGATCGCTTACCATCATGTGATCCGTCAGCTCGTTTGTCTCCTTTTCCATAAAAAAACCGAGTTCGATATTCTTCTCTTCGAATTCAACTACAGCGAATTCAAGTCACTGTGCGGATAATCAGTACTCCACCCGGACAGGACGCACTATTTTTTATGGTTTAGCAATCGGATCATTAGATAGTAAGTCAACGGCGCTGCCCATGGACATCCACAATACAAGAGCGTTGCCGGTTTTTGGAAGAGAGACTATGGGGTTCCGATAACCTCAATCACGCGGTGGGACGTTGTTTTACAGCGATTTTCTGTAAAATACTACTAAACTACATTCTGTACCTCCTACTAGTTCCTCAACTACGTTTACTTAGGCGTGGTCTACACTCTAGAATATGTCTAACATGACGTCTATCTTCACCTTATCAGTATGGATACCCTGAATTGATTACTGGGGAACATTTTAATTGGATATCATAACAATATCGTTATTGTATGCAAATGATGTTCTGGCTTCGTGTTTTCATGTTGTGTTAGTAGCTACTAGTTTAATAATAATATGTGCTAGGCTATTTGTTGATTTTGTTTTTGTGAATACAAAGCATAACGTATTTATTAGACTGCCTCGTTGGCCGAGTGGTTGCAAGTGCGACTGCGGGCAAAGGGGTCTCGGGTTCAATTCCCGGGTCGGGCAAAGTACTACTGGGTTATTAAAAAAATTCTCAGTGGTAGCACGTTACATGGGACTCATAACATTAATAGTGAAAAGTGGGTGTTACATTGTACTGTACATTGTACAGTGGAATTAAGTGTCGTAATGTGCACCTCTGCCTACCCCTTCAGGGATAAAAAGGAATGATGTTGCAATATTCACATAGTACATAATTAGATATGCACCTATGCCGCAAAATCTTATTTTTTTTTTTTGAGAGGAGAAAATCATCCAATGACTTCTCCAACTTGGGTGAGGCGAGAGGGAGTGTCAGACTCATACTGACTGTAAACCACCCCGTTCTTACTTCTGCACTTCGATCCTGAGCCCCAGCAACCTGTTAAGTCCTCCGTAACTCCGTATCGGCATCAGCCCAACACGCCGTACGGTCAATGTTCGAAAACCTTTAGAAGTTTAAAAATGTGTATATTTGACAGGAGGCAAATATACAAATGACATGATAACTGACAAGAGTCAGCCTTTATGTAAGTATAGTAAAAGGTTCTCTCAACTGATGTATGTAGCTATTCACTTAAATATAATTATGGAACAGATACATTGAAATTACTATACTCGAATTTCAATACTCACAGTATGCATTTTTATACTCGTAGTTTGCTTTTTTGGTTTCATTTGTTTTAAAAGAACTTCTATAAGAAGAAGTATGGTTCTGCTTACGTAATTAACCCGTCGTTTGCCGGAACGTAGATCTACGCGAGACACAATGCATTTTCTATTGTGTCTTATATACCGGCAGTCAAGAGGTTAAAGATGGCAGAAATATTTGATTTGAGTACAATGATCAATGTTCAATATCCTATATCAACTGTCGCGGAGAACCTAACGGGTAACCGGGGCTCCGGCTCGACGTGCAGGAGAAGGAACGGGGTGGTTTTTAGTCAGTAAGAGTCTGACACTCCCTTCCACCTCACCCAGGCGGGAGCAGTCATTCGATGATTTTCCCCCTTAAAAAAAAATCCTATATCAACTGACCAATAATAAGTATCTTCCATAGTGACCTGTTCAATAAAATTATAATACACTAGCTGTTGTCTGCGAATTCGTCCGCGTAACTTTTTGTTGTACATTTTTCTAAAATAAAAGAACACTATGTTACTCCTTAGTACCTACATCAGATTTCCAGTCAAAATCGGTCCAGCCACTCCAGAGATTAGCCAGTAAAAACAGACAGACAAAAATTGTAAAAAATGTTATTTTGGAATGTGTATCGTATGTATATTCATATGCATGTAGTAAAAATCTATTATTTTAATATTACACAGACACATTCCAATTGTATTTATGTGTATAGATAATTATGTATGTTACAGTAAAACGCAATGAGTCCTCAGCTCATAATCAAGTGTAGATATCTACATAATTACAGTAATAAAACTTGTAATAATGTCCTTATTATTCATATATTCATAAACGTGTCAGTACTTTTTATTTGTATTTAATGGAGACTTGTTGCCGCGTAATGATATACAGAACTTGTGCTATTAAAATTGAATTAAAGGTTATTTTTTTTGTTATATCTAGTGGTTTGTTATAACATAACATAACATCATGCATTTTATCCCCGAAGGTGTAGGCAGAGGTGCACATTACGGCACTTAATGCCACTGTACAATGTACACCCACTTTTCACTTTTTAAGTTATGAATCCCATGTAATGGGGGTGAGCCTATTGTGATATACCGGGCATATTTCCAGACTCCGTGCTACTACTGAGGTTTTTACAAATCCAGCAATATTTCACCTGACGTGGTAATCGAACCCGAGACCACTTGCCCGGCACACTTTCGACCACTCTGCCAATGAGGCAGTCATAAAGTGGTTTGTTATAAACTTACGGATTACATGGTATGTACCACCCAGGGAACCCTATAACACTAAAGATGTTACCTTAAAAGTTAAGCAAAAAGAAAATTCTTTTTTTAACTAAATATCGCGGGTTACTCACGTGAATATATTGAGAAAAACTCTACTAGTTTCGAAAATCACAGAGGTGTTCTTCCTCATGATGAACGGCGTGAGAGGTCGC